AGCAATCTGAAGATTATCCATTACTCTCTAGTAAAAGCCCCATGGTTATTTTCACTTTTTTATTGTTTTGTCAGTAAGAGGACACTGCTGTACTAAGTCTCTTTGTCAAACACGTTTTGAGCATGCTTATTATTTTTGTGCCAGTAGTAAATAATGAAGTTGTTGCTTTATTAGTTGAAGTCTATCCCAAAATACTGTTATCAGTAATTACTGAAATATTGGACAGGTACCTCAGCATTCCAGTTCAAAGGACTTTGCAGAAAATAAACCTTATTAGGCATGCAGCATTTATTTGTACAAGTGAAGGTGCTGCTTTTTTAGTTGAAGTCTGTCCCAAAATTCTGTTATCAGTAATTACTGAAATATTTGACAGACACCAAGAGTGAACCTCAGCATTCCAGTTCAAAGGACTTTGCAGAAAATAAACTTTATCAGGCGTGCAGCATTTATTTGTACAAGTGAATGCTGTGCTGCTGTAAGCTGAAGCACAGGGTAGCATTTCACTGAACTCAGCAAACACATTCAAACAATGGTATATTTCAAATTAGGGAGCGTTATGATACCAGACTTAATCATTAAGTACCATCAAGGAACAGATGGCAGGGGAGGACACAACTGGTTTGCAGTCTGCATAGATTTAAGCACGAGGCCATTAAGCTATCACATTGCCATTTCTGATAGATTTTGGTCAATGAAAAATTAAAGACACATAATCCCTGATTATATGAAGTCTCAATCTGTGATTCATGACACTGGTAGTATTTCAAAAATCACTGAAGTTCCCTGTGTAATCAGGAGTTTTAAACTAATGCATTATTGGGATAGATGCTCCTGTCTGCTTTTATTGCTATTGAAATTAATGTATCTTGTCATAAGTAGGTTGCTCTTAAATGTAAAATTGCTTCAGGGCATCTTTTACCGCTCTGCTTCCTATCGACTTCTAGACAGATTTGCCCTATTTTGCTGGGCTGTTTGCCACTGAAGCAGCTCAGCATCCCCACCTCATAAAAGGAGCACTTCAGAACAGGGGTGGCCTTAAAAATGTTTATAGCAGCCACCAGAATCTGAGGGCTTTAAAAAGCTGCTCTTTAAAGCCATGTCTTAAACTGGCAACATGGACCTTTTTATTTTCAAAATTATTTAAATTGCATCCTGTATTTCCATCAGTTTATTTCAGTGTCATTGGACCTATTTACTATTATATACTTTACTATTACTTTTATGTACTATACTATCACTATTATATACTATACTTTTATACACTATACTATATACTATTATATACTGTTCTAGTTAACAGAATTGGTTTGCACTAATAAAAATATAAACATTATACTGGTCACAGAAATTCAACAGTTCAACTTATGGGTATAAGTAAAGTACTTCATTAAAATCTTTAATTAGTTTTTCAGAACTGTAAATGAGTTTGGAGTTGCTCCTAGAAGGTTCTGACAGTTCATGTTTAGAATTTTATCTTTCTGCATGAAAAGTAGTTGCACATCAGAGTTCATGCTTAGTAAAAAGTATTGGTATGCCATGACTTGGACCAGCCTGAAAAAATACAGTTTTACAAACCACATAAAGTGGGAATGTGCAGCCAGCATCCTGCTGTATTATTCCCTCTTCAAGAGGGACAAATCAAGATATCAATACTTGAGATGATGAGCTATATTGACTAAATAAATAATATTTAAAATTCTGTTTGGTGGATTAACGAGCATTCAGGTTGGAGTCTTTGAGAAAGTGAGACCTGGTTATCAGTATTGGAAGTGAAGGTGGCTTTAGTTGGTTTTCTTTTTTTTAAATAAGGAATTTCCTGTTCAGAGACCTAATCATGGTCCTTTCATAACCCTGGTGTGAGGAGGGATCTGTCAGGTCTGTGCTTGGCTGTTCCATACACAACCCTGACAGGTCTAACACAATGTGAAAGGTAGAAATAAATCAGGGACTGGAGATCAGGGAGCTCTGCTTGGGGGGAATCCTCACTTTCCAACATGGACTTTTCAGCACAGGATCAGTTCAGTGGGTAGCCTGTAAACAGTCTGTGTTTATAACCATTTAATGGCATCATGTGGTTAGAAAAATCTCAATTACTGCAGCACAGAGGTGAATGAAGTCCTGTTTGCACTGGAAGGTGCTGAGAGCAGCACTGCACTCTGGCAAGCAAGGGAAACCATTTTTTGTCCAATTCCCTCATCTTAATCATGTACTAATTAAAAGTGTCAAAGGCAAGACCTCCCATGGTTGAAGAATAATGAGCCAAGAGGACATTCATTACCAAAAACCAGAAAAAGGAATCTGCTACCAATAGTGAGTTATTATAAATTTAAAATGATTGGAACAGAGGAATACTGATATCTCACTACCTTGCTTTTATTGAACCTTAAAACCAGTGGGTTCAACTTCTTGTTCCCACTACCTGCTTTTAACTTCTGCTGAAAAATGTTAAGGGAACTTGGAGTTTGGGGTTTCTGTTGGACCCTTTGCCATAATCTTTTGGAAAAGTTGAAAATTACAAAAATAATTTTTTTCTGTGCACCAGGTTGTCCCAAGGCTGACATTCTGATTTGAACTGCTGGTCCTTTGCTCTAGCAGAGCATCTTGAAACTGGCCAGTGGAATTTTCCCAGTGCTAAAAATCCAACTCCAGAGCACGTCTGCAGCCCAAGTGTTCCCAGCAAAAATTCACAATCTCACTAAACTGCTTCCTGCAATTTAAGCCAACAATAAAAAGCCAAACCAAAACAAAAAACCCTCCAAATTCTGTTTTAAGCTACAGGAATGAATCATTTTGGCACTAAGCTTGTCGTGGAGGGAGTGAGGTTGTTACAGCAGCCCTTCCCTGCTGCCTGGGCTGGTCCTGTGGTGCCATGAAGATCCAGTGCTATGCAAATATTGAAGGTTTTGTTCATCCAGGATCAATCTCAATATCCTAATGCAGCTTTGGAAAGGAGAAAATGGAAATCCTGAGCTTTTATGACGTTTGTGTTCTGAGTTCTTGTGGTTGCACACTAATTTTGGTGTTGATGCTAAAATAAGAGCTGGCACAGCATCCAGGAAACCCCTGTGCCCTGGTTAGAGTGCATCTGAAATGTGGGCCTGTGGAAATGCTGCTGAAGATGATGAAAAAGCCAGAGATAATCCCATGGTCATTAAGATTAAAGATGAAGATTAAGGGCCCAAATCGGCCTTTTGGAGATATGCATGCAGAAATTGGAGACTTCAGCTGATCTCTGTAGGTCAGCAGGATTTATTGTGGATTTTCTCTGCTGATTTTAACAAATTTGAATGAATTCAGTGTGGAAAGGAGTCCAGTTCTGTGCATCTGCAAAGCAGAATTATTTTTAGCCCATTTGGTTGCTTTTACAGCTACAGGTTGGCTGATCTAATAAACCCAAGGTCACATCTCAGTCACATGGTTTGGCTAATATGTTCTAAAATTTATTTTAATTATTTATAATATTTTTAGGAACATGGTGATGAGCATTTAGGAATGAGGCAATTATCCATGTCCTAATTTTCCTAGATTTATAATAATAAATATAAAAAAAAGATACTGTGCCTGCTGCTTTTCTTTAGGAATGTCTGGGTGTTGGAGGTGCATTTTTTAAATATGACCTGACTTCCTTTCCCAGCAGTGGTTTTTCTATTATTTCTATTTGTGTTTATAAGCCAGGAAATGCTGATAGCAATAAACTGAAGAAAAGACATAAATATATATATATATATTTTTTAAATCTAATATTCTAAATTTAAAGCTTGCTGTAAAAGGCAAATAAAGTTTGTGTAGGTAAGTTATATATAAATGAAAAATACGTAATTTTTGTACAGAGAGTATGTGAAACTACCAATCAAAGGGATAAATTGCATCAGAGTAAGTCATGATACCACAATATTCAGGTCATTTTTGTTTTATAGCAAATAACTCCTCTTTCTGTATTTGATTCTGACTCTAATCCTCTGTCTGTGGGTTATTGAATTCCATTACTTGTGCACATTACCAGGATCATTCTTCATTGCCATAGCATTTTTTGAAGGTTGTTCTTTGGGTTTGTTTTTTTTTTTCTCCTAAAGTTTGCCAGTGGCTGTTCTGGAAAGTGTATTCTGTGTTCCATTGTTTAAATCATTAATGACAATGTTGAATAAAACCAGAGCCAGCAGACACATATCCCTGCTGGGAGCCCTGGTTTGCCAGGGAGAAATTGGTGGTTTGTTTTTGAGTGCAGCATCCCAGCCAGCTCTCATTTATCTGGTCATAATAATATCATTAAACAATACAATAATACCATTAAATATCAAAAGTTGTGTTGTGCAACTGTATCAGGAATCTGTAAAAGTGAGAAGCTTCACTTTGGCCATCCCTTAGGAATTCTTTAAACATTTCAGGGAGTGTTATGGGGTGTGCTTTGATTCTGGTGGTTTTCCATGGGAAATCCCAGTGAATGGCTGTCCTGCTGCCCTCTGTGTGTTACAAGGTATTGAAAAGGGGAACTCACCTGCCTTTGCTCAGATCCTTTTGCTTTGTGGAGGAAAAAGTGATTGATTTCCTCCCTGAAGCCAAGACAAACCAGAGAAAAATCTGGTGGTATACGATAGCACATGACAAAAACTCCAATTAACAATCCCTTTGTTGTCACATTCCAGCAATCTGTAAATACATTTAAAACAGTTTAGTCTATGTTAGCATGATGTGTTTCATATTCATCATCATTCTAAAAGTTAAAATTAGATTTTATACCTAATAAATACCATCCTAGAGCCATTCCCTGGGAGTTGTGGTGGCTGCTCCCAGTTTCAGGCAGCAATGTGGGGCTGGCTCTGTCAGAGACATTTCAAGCTCCTTCCATCTTCCACAGCTCCTTATTGATTTGTGGAGGGGAAAACAAGGCTGGTTATCAGGACAAGGAATGGCTGTGCTGGCACTTTACCATTTGTTTCATAGACAAAGCTTTAAAGATGAATGGTCAGTGTGTTTAATGTATTCTTTTTTTCTTTTTGCAGCAATCCAAAGTCTGCTAATCAGAGGATAAACAAGAAAGTGAACAATGATGCATCATTAAGGATTCAAAATTTGTCTATTTTGGTGAAACAAATAAAAACTTACTATCAGGTCAGTAACTGTTTGTTGTGCTATGTTTTGCCTGGAATTATTTCTAAATTTTCTTCTGTAGTTATGGCTGTAAGGGTAACAGGAGTAAGATGAATAAGAGATGATTGTTTAGATATCTGGTCAAATTTCTTATCAGTGTTTACAGATATAAAGGTGGTGTGGGCACGCTTTTGTATGTTTACAGAATAGATACTCTGTGTGTGCAGTTACTGCTGTGGTGTTTTCTGAGTTGAAGCAAGTTTTGTGCCAGTGTCACCAGTGTCCCTTCAGTGTGGCTTTAGTGCCCTTCCCCACTGCCCTGCTCCTTCCTGCCTGGAGAGCCCAGGGCTGGCAGAAACCCTGTGCTCTGCCTCTCCCTGCAGTCCTGGAGTCTGCTGCTCCTCCTGTGTCCTCACACAGCGT